GATGAGGCCTCATGAAGAGGCCTTATCATCAGTTCCTGTAAACGTTTTTGTTCGACACTTTGCTGGTGACATTTTCTTGTTTTCTCTTGATAATCATCACTAAGAGACTTTTTTAGTGCACTTTATTTTTTTTCCGTTTGTGTCAAATTTGGTCTTGAGATGATTCAAAGTGAGGAACCAATCAAGACAAACTACTGCAGAAGGAGCTGAAGGGGATAAAAACAAAAGCTTGGAGGTGACTGAATCCTTCGCCATTTCCAAAGACTTTTCTCAGAGCAATTCTATGAATTAGATCCTAGAGTTTTAGGCTTTGAGACTGACTCTAAATTCCAGAGAGAACCAAAAACTTTCATGCAAGGAAAACCATTAATCTGCTTGGATTATTTATTATTTTATTTGTCCTGAGGAATTATTCTGCAGAATCTGAGTAGGATTTTCTTTATTTTATTTTTGCTTCTGTAAATCAATAGACTGAAGGGTGTGACTACAATATTTGGGATAGAGGAGGGATAAATATCCGGCACAGTAAATGTGTTCCCAGCGTCTAGGTAAAGGATTCATTCTTGATAGATTCATCAATAACTTATCTCATTAAATATTTATATATCTTAATCTAGCGTGGCATGGCCTATCATCAGCTACATTATTTAGATATCTTTTGTTTTCTAAGTGCTTACAGATGTATCCAGCTAAGACAGCTGCTTTGAATTCAAAGCAAAGCCAGAAGTTGATGCATGAGCAGAAAAACAGCTGAGCTCTTCCTAATCTCCACATCATGTTCCTCAGTTACAGCCGCCCTTCACCCCCTTATATGCACCAAGGCCTAATCCTCTTTCTTGACAATCTTTTTACAACAAAGCTAAAAAAGTAACATCTTAAAGCAACTTGGACAACCTATAGGCTTTCCCAATTATGTTGCCCCAAAATAAACCCCTTGTCTGGTGCTTCTTTGGCAGACGGCTCTAAAGGCCTCACACGAGTCTGGCTTTAAACCCCCCCCTCCCGGTTACTATGAGCTAAGGAAACTTCAAAGTGATGCATCAGGAGTGCAGACAGCACTCTGTGATTTCTGGACTCATTCAAGCTGCTTTACAGAGTAACCCAACACCTGCGGGGAGGCTTGCAAAGACTGACAGAGTGGAGATGTATGTGGGACAGGAGAGGTGTTGCTCATCTTGCACACTGCATCACTCATATAGCTTCAATGTTCCTGTTGTAGAAAAAAGAAAACATTCAAACTAGACTGATCTGTCCTAAATGTCAAAATTAAAGCAAACTCAGAGAGGGAAAGTCAGAGAAACGGCACTGAATAACAATCAGATCAGACCACTCATCACCCACTAGAGAAACAACACAGCAGTCCCAGTGATTAATAATAACTTCATTAGGCCCACGCTGCTGTAGCCTGTCCTTCAGAGCACTTGAGGGAGGTCTTCTCATATGGCTTCCTGCATCAGATGAGTGCTATCTATTGATTATATTGTACCGGGCCTTTTTAATGGTGAAAAAAGTGGGCTATTTACGGCCCGCCTAAGTCTGCTCTTCCTGCTAATCTAATCCCCAAGCTACTCATGTGGTCATTCCTTCCAAGAAAGCTGAGAGCTCTGTGTAACTTTATACCTGCAAGCCCCCAAGGAGAGGGAGAGCCAGAGGAGAGCGTGAAGGAGAAGGAGAGTACTGTAGACGTGGGGGCTGGGGAGTGAGAAAATGATGAAGACTATGAAGTGAAATCATCTTTCTAAACCGACCTTGTCCGACTTGCTCTCACCCAGAACAGCAGAGTTTAGCTTTGGCTTTGCTCCATTAACTCAGCGCCTCTATCTGCATCTTCCTGTTAAAGGAGCTATAGAGCAGTTCATGATGTAGACGAAACCGAACGCTCAATTGAACGTGATAAAACCCACGTGTATCGGGGCAAAACTGCAAAGATCGGGAGTTCACAGTATCCTTTAAACCTTTTCAATCAACAGAAAATAAGACGCAATACTTCCATGCTATATATAAATATATGTATATATATATATATATATTGCTGCCCCCCCCTCCAATCACCCTGGTTCTCCCTTTCCCTCCAAAGACCGGACTGCCTTTTGTTCATGAGGCGCTGAAACCTAAGACGTTTGGGCCGGTAACATCTTTCACTCTTCAGGCCCCACTGGAGCATTAGCTGCAACCTGATATGGGTCTTTTCAAAGCTTTGTATTATTGGGTAAATATGGGTCACTTTGCAGCGGCCCATCATGTCGCTTCGGGGGAGCTGGAAAAGACGAGCGCGAGTGATGAAGACAACTGAAGGCCTCTGGGTGGGTGTGTGGGTGGGTGCATCATACTGCAACTGCCACAAGGGAGTTGGAGGGACAGGTGTCTTTACTTTTTTTTTTTTTAAAACATCCCCTACCCTTTTCTTAAAAGCATGAATTCATCTGTCAAATATTAAATTCTTCCTATCTCACCACTGTCAGTGAAAACTACAAGTTACACCACAGAAAAAGACACAACCAATATAATCTTGCTAATATTAAATAGTGACACAGAATAGGACTTTTCAGTCTTTAAATTAAATAGTTCACATGCACTACAATTACTATTGCTCCAAATATTTGGATGAAAAAGGTCGAAGCTTACACACCTAGAAATACCATCCTAACTGTGAAGTACAGCAGTGGCAGGATCAAGTTGTGTGGTTTTATTGCTGCAGAAGGAACTACTGTATTTAATACAAAGACACCATCATCCTTAAAGAACATTATGAGGGAAATACATCAACAAATACCTTAGAACCGGTTCATAACTTGGTTTTTCAAATGAATGATTTGAAGGCTGGTTTATACATGAGGATTCTACCATTGAAATTAGAATATTTCCATTTCTTTTGCAGCGTTTTATACTCTGTGTGGTTTTCCCCTCTGTACCAGCAGTCTGGCCAATTCCAGGGGGGTAGAGCACCGACCACAAGCATGACACCACAAGTAGAAAAAAGTTGTTTCCAGAATAGAATTAGAATAGAATTTAACTTTATTGCCATTACATTGTCACATGTAGAGAGTAATGAAATTAACTCCCTGCTTTTAACCC